CGATTAAAGCTAAAAATCACGTTGGCGCAACCGAGTCTTAATTTAGATAAAATATTTTAATATCATAATATTTAATATTATGATATAATATCACATGTATATAATAATATTATATACCATATCGTGCGAAAATAGTTTTTTTTTTTTGGATGTTTTCTCGGGTGAAGAGAACGGTTAAAGTCGGCTTTACGTCGGGCCGTCCAACGATGTATCCAATGTATCCGAAGACATTAAATTCACGTATTCAGTAATAAATCCATTCCATTCGTTAAATGTTTGCCATGGGGAACCCGACCATGAAAAAATGGGACGGAATCATTCTGATGGATTAGCCCCCCTCCCCCATCATATTTCTTTTCCATTACTATTCCGTTCCGCTATTTCTTTATCTATGGGGACACACCCTCACGCTGATGGTGAATTTAGAACAGTATTCATAGTGCTGCCAGCACTGACAATCAATTTTGGAATACAGTCACTTGTAGATCACGCTTTAAGTTGCTTAAGTTGTTTTATGTGTCACAGCTCTTATGTCCATGATGCTAGAAATCGGGTCCGAGATCTCGAAATGGAAAGAGAATTGACCAATCGCGATTGTAATTGGCCGTAAATATTCAAACGCAATTGGTCAATTCTCTTTCCATCCGAGATCTCGGACCGATTTCTAACATCGGGGACATAAGGCATTAAACTATCGTGTGTGACATGTGGTATCACTGCCGTTGCCGATTCAACATGTAGGAGTTAGCAGCGCATTTAATTGCTGTGTTGCGCATGCTGTGCTACCATATATATATATATATATATATAACGATGGCAGATTTCAACGATGGAGTGGATGGGAAGTTGGCCTTTAGAATGCGAAAAGTCAATCCCGAGCAATTTCATACGCTCGTGAAAATGCATCTCTCCTTCGAATTAGATCTTAATACCGAGGAGTAAGTTATAATATCTCCTTTCACATGTCTCTATACTTTTATATAATCGATATACCATTGACACCTTGCGTCGACAAACAATCAAGATGATATTTTTGTTTGTTTGTATTTGATTTTATTTTATAACGTCCAATTATCAACTTACTATAGGTGATAACTTACAGCTGATGTTCTTCTATAAAAACCTTTATTATAAAGTATAATAAAATTATATAACATATGTTTTGTGATGAATTATAGTAATGACGGTATTACTGAGAAAGCAAGAATGAAAAAGTGGGGTCTTCTGAACTTTACTAAGAAGTCTAAGTCTTCAGTTAATTTAGAAAAGGGTACAGAGGGTATTACGTTATCTGAGGATGGTATAAATCACTTGACACAGCTAATAGATTATTTATCCAGAGAACAAAGTAAGTAAATATATTAGATAATGGAAAATTTAGAAATGGAGTAATAAATAGTTCTTTTTATATTATAGATATTATACAAGAAGGAATATTTCGACGTACTGGAAAATTAACAAGGCAACAAGATTTAAAAATAGCTATGTCTCAAGGCATATTTTTAGATCTTGAAGATGGTAAATTTAGTGTACATGATTGTGCCTCTGTATTAAAAGGATTCCTGGCCGAACTATCTGAACCGCTCCTGACAGATCTACATTATCCAGCACATTGCCAGATTGCTGGTAATAATATAAAAAAAAAGCTTTGTTTGTACTTGCTATGATATATTTACCATATGATATATTTACCATATCTATATAAATTATTTGCAGAATTGTGTAGCTTGGATGTAAAAACAAATGAAACAAGATTGCTCAGTTCTTTACAACTGCTATTATTACTTTTACCATCCCTTAATAGAATTCTGTTGAAAGCTATTCTTATCTTGTTGAATAAGACAGCAAGTTATGAGCACAGTAATAAAATGAACAGTGACACATTGGCTACTCTTTTTACACCACACTTATTGTGCCCACGTAAATTGTCACCTGAAGCCTTACATATTAATTCTCAAAATCTGTCATGCCTAGTGGCATTTATGATCAGAAAAGGTATGGAATTATTTGAGATCCCGTCAAAATTAGCTACAGATATAAGAGCATACTGGGTGGAGCAAGAAAGAAAATTATTAAGCCCTAAAAAGACTGATGTAAGTATCATATTTAATATATTATGATCTGCATGCTTTACAAGAAAGAATTTAAAATTACAGTTGAACGAGTCAGTACCAGATACAACTAGTACAGCTCATACTGTGTTTAGTTTTGTCGATCGTAAGTTAACAGCAAAGGCTAATTCCACGCAAGATACACAGGCAGCTTTGGCTCAGCTATATGCTCATATACAAGCCATGCCGGAATCTGCAAAGAAACGACGACTTGTGAAACAATTTAATAAAGAAAATGGACAAGGTACACCTAGACACATAAAGAGTTGTAAAACGAAGAGTCTTGGAGATTCCATCAAGAAACATATCTTTCAAAAGAAGATTCTGGGCCATAAGAAATTTATTGACGTTAATATTGGATGTAACATTACTAGATCCAGCAGTGAAGAAAATATGTTGTCAACGGTTAATTTCTTTATGAAATATTTTTTTGTAGTATGTTTATTATTTATTTAACATCTTTATCATCTTTGATATTTTTCTTTGTATCTATATATAGAAACTTGAAGATTCATTTCTTCCGACGAAAACATTTCTTAGCAAATCGAATGATGAACTTAGCACGGAAAATTGTGATACAACCAATAATGACTTTTTACATGTCAAACACATGAGTAATATAGATAATATTAAAAATGAAACTATAACAAGTTACATTACAAAAAAGAAGCTATTAGTCGATCGATCTATAAACACGAGAGATGAATTAAATGGAAAGAGTACGCAGTATGATACAAAACAAAATTTGGGTTTAATTGAATTCCGTTCAAGTACAAGTTTACAAGAAATTAATGCAATAGTCAACGAAGATAGTCAATCTGATACTGATAAATTAATACGACCACTCAGTGAACCACTTGACTTATATTCCACTCACAATGTATCTCACTGTGACAATTTAATAACGAATGATGGTGAATTGCAGCAAAACTCAGAAGCTACTCTCGCATTCGTTGCAACATCAAATGTATTAAGTACCCTTTCCGAAACTTGTACTTCAAACATAAAATCATCAGATTTAAATGTTTTGAATGTTGAAAGTGCATGTACACACAGTTTGCAATCTCCAATGGTAAAAAACAGATTCAGGAATGTATACGCTGTTCATACATCGACGCCATCGAGTTTATTACGACGAAGTTTGGCCACTAACGATTATATCTTGACTCCCATTACTAATAATAATAGAAGTATGAGTCCAATTACGCAAAGTGCAACAAAAATGACAAAAGCCATGCAGGTACGTAAATTAAACATATTTTTTACATAAAAATTGCGCGCGTGCGATGTGTGTGTGTGTGTGTGTGTGTATTTTGCTTGAAAAATATTGAAAATATTAAAAAATATTAAGAAAAGCCAAATTAAAATTATAAGATTAAATACTGATTTTTTTATTTTATAATAGGAAACTATGATGACTCCACGCTCTAGGAAACCAGTAATGATTGTTTCAACTTCGAATCTATGCAATCTTGTTACTGACAACAACAGCTATAATTTACATAGAAATTTAGATATGGTTAGTGCAATGAATAATTGCACTTCTATTTTAGAGGAATCTCAAACATATACAAATAACGCATTAGCTCATACAGATGTGGAAAATAAAAAAAATAATAGATTAAACATGCTTGAGAAACATAATTGTATACAATCCACAAATTATTGCGCCTGTACGCAACAAAGTTCGATGTCTATAACGAGTACATTCCGAGAATATCTGTTGTCAAGAAGCGTCTTAACTGTTAGTCCCGTCGATCTCAGTTTTACGTCGCGAACAGGGGACTTTGAGCAATCGGAATCTGATTTGAATATTTTAAATAGTGATACAATGTCTGACAGTTTATTGTGCTGTTTGGATGGTAATCAACCAGAATCTGATACTTCCGGCATAGCATCCGGCAGCACAAATAGTGTGAATAATTCCGCTGAGAAAACAGAGGAATTACATTCCCCAAGAAAACGAGGAACCAACTTACAACGAAACGATTCCAAAAAATCCGTGAAAGAAAGCGTAATCAAGAGTGCAAGAGGCGAAGAATTCAAACATAAACTACGAGATGAATCAACATTAAATTCCGTTAAAATGAAAGACAGCTTTCAAGAGACATCATTTTAAATTATTCAAATAAATTATTTAATTACATTAGCACATTTTTTTTATTTTAGAATGAAACTAGTAGTAAGTATTTCATAAATTTTTGAGAAAAAAACGAATCTGATCTTCAAATTTATGCCAGATTTTTAGAAATAAGTTATAAAATTTTTGAGATAGTACATGGAACAAACATATAGTTGCATATAGAAAAGCATGTAACGTATATTTCATTGTATATTTTATTACATATTAGAAAAGATAATTGCTTATGTTAAGATGAGAGACTATGATCTCTGTTTATGTACTCTGAAAATTTGAGTTTCACTGATTCTTAATTCAGCATGTTTATAAATCTCATTTCTTATTTTGATATATGATCATATAATTATGTACCTAAATATACAATAAAGAGGCATACGTTCTTTTTATATATCTTTTTACGAGCTTTACAACTTGTTACTTTGTAACCTGACATGTATATAAATTTAAAGGTCAGATTCATTTTTAATATCTATAAATTTCTATGAAATATGTAATTTCCTCCCAAGATCAAGACAAAGACTTTTTTTTACAGATTAATATTATTTGTATTAATATTGTTAAGTATAAGTAGATCTTTTCTGGTTATTTCGTATATTTTAAAATTAATAAATATCGCTACATTAATTAAGTGATAATATAAGTTTGATTTTATATATATATTTTGTCTTAAACAAATTGATTATCTAATAATAACTGTTTATGAAAGTTAAATTGTTGCTAAATGCGTATATGATGCAAGACGTTTCGTTTCCCTTTCATCAACCAACTTGATAAAGATGTTTATAAAAATTATGTATTGCTATATGGAATGCAACAAAATATTTTTCTACTTCATGCTATATATCAAATTGCACAATACATAACTATATACTCTAATATGAAGTGTAATTATGCATTTTATCCTTACATACATTTTAAATAAGCTTGATGCAAGATAAAATATTTATTATATTAAAATATTTATAAAGTTAAATAATTTGAGAAAATTTGTATGATATTTAATCATAATTATATATGAGAAATTAAAACATGTTACAAACATTATTTAAACAACTGAAAGAAGTCATAGCCATTACTCAGAAATAGAATTTTAAGTGCTAAATATTTATATAAAATAAATTCAAATAATTCTATCACCAATCACATACCACTATTTTTGGACTTAACGATGTAACAGTTCTACAACAATCAAATTTTTGATACTGATTAAAATTCCCTTTATTATCTCATCCAACGATTATTTAATTTTATCTTAATTATAATATAATATAAAAAGTAAAACTGATTAGGATATATTAATTTTTATTTTTAAGTGTAAGACTGATAAATTTTTAGAGATTTCTTGTGATTTTAATATTACAATTAGTAAATAATACACATAAAGTATATGAAATTTCACCTAACAATGATATATATTTAATTAATGTAAATTAGATAAAAAAAATAGGAATATGTCAGTACATATCATCATGACTTAAATCTGGTATATATGCAAAACCTCTCTCTTTCAAAGCTTTGTTTACTCGTTTTTTCTGCTCCTGCTTTGATTCTTGTTCACGTCTTTGAGCATCTAAAATTTCATCCACTGTCACCTTTTTCAAGGGCAAGACCTTTTCCTTTTCTATATCCTATAATAAGGGCATATTTGTTAGTTAAATTCTGTATAAAATTCTTGCTATTTATTAATAGAAATTACAATAAATATTTCTCTTATCTTGTATACTTACTATTTCTCCTAAAAGTACAACATTCTCTCCTCTTACTATGAAAATACCTCTGGGAATATCACCATATTCTTGACCAACATGAATTCTTTCAATAGTACTTTGAAGCACTATATTAGCAAATTGATCGACACTTTTAAGATAACCAATTAGTGTTCTACCATCTCTCAATAAAACCATAAGTTTTTCTAAATAAGAGTAAATGCAATATGATTGGAAAATATCGATGTATGCCTAATGTTTTTATCAATATTTTTATCAATATTTATTAACTTTAATTTTGATTTAATTTATTTGTTTATCCTTTCTTAATTCCCACATCCATTTTTATTAACTAACTTTTTATAAACTAACTTTAACCTCGGCCTAATTAATTTATTTTTTAACCTTTGCTAATCCTTAGAATAGAAAAAAATAAGTAAAAAATAAAAGTAAGATTAAAAATAATTTACATTCCTATAAATATATATAAAAGATAAACGAGATAACGAAAGAAACTCTTTGAATTATTATATGCTTATTTTTTATAATTAGTGTTTATAACGCTCTTTGATTTTGATTTTGTGAAATAATGTAATCATTAGTCTGTAACATTTTGCAATGACGCATTATCAAAGAAAAGTTAAGACCAAATAATAACAATAATAATAATAACAGAACAGTAAAATATTGAAATGAGAGTGTGCCCGGCACGTGAATGTCTTCTGTTAAATATCAAATTAATACATACTTTCGAGTTCTTCGAGTAACGATGCTGTCCCTGGTGGCAATTCGTTGGTTTCATTCATTTCGTTTGATCAAATAAATTTGTCAAACAAATCAAATCACTAAACACTTACTATGAATTTCTTTGATATCAATTCTTCACTCGCTAGTTTGAGAAAAATCGCTTCATTCAAGCAACACTGTCACGTATGTACTTGTAATGGGATGAAATATGTAAATGTGCAAAAAGTGCCGAAAATATTAATCCCGCTTTTTCATTCAGTCGATATATAAAAAACTATTTTATCGACACTATTAAATATTTGCATAGATGATGTCATGTTACGTGTGCTAAGAAGATGGTACTTTCCAACAACGTACACAGGCGACACTGTGCAACACAGTGTCTATACTGATGCTTTCTATTTATGACACAGAGACACAGAACGACACTGCGAAACACAGCTCGATCTTAAAGCCAGCGACACACGATGCTTTTTTTCCTGCTGATTTGCTAGTTGGATTTGCGTGCTCGTAAGCTCTTGTTTCTGATTGGTATATTCTTTTGGATCTAAAAAAATATACCAATCGAAGACAAGAATTCAACAAGCACGCGAATCCAGCTAGCAAACCAGCAAGAAAAAAAGCATTGTGTGCCGCTGACTTAAGTTTGGCCGTGTCGGTTTGGATGTCAATAGTGCCAATACATCGAGCAAAATTATTTTTTTAAATGTGGTACTAATATATATCCCGGTCATATTGTCACTTTGGATGCGATTTCTTGCATGATGCGCATAATGCATCATTTATCCTTTTTTAATGAATAGTGATAAATAACTTATCATTATAAGTGATACATCATGCGTATTATGCGAGAAACGGAACGTATCCTTTATCTGCAAAAAAATGTCTTCGTTGCGTTCGAACGTAGTATTTCGAACCCGGAATTCTTAGGTAATCAATATTTAGTTTCTTTTTATTTAAAAAACTAAGCTTAAAAACATTACGTATTTGTTGATGACCCATTATTAGTACATATTTTATCAGATTAATTTTTATTGCAGATATGTTCTTTTGTCACCATTGTAAAGAAATTATTTCTACATTAGTGTCGGTCCATAATAAGTGATTTAAGCTTTAAGAAGTAAGAAATTGACCAATTATAATCGAATATGAAAAGAATAATCGACTATGATTGGTCAATTTCTTACGACTTAAAGATTAAATACTTATTGTGGACCGACACTTAGATGATGTTAAGTATCATGCTTGTTTCGAAGGAAAAGAAGTTTTCCTTGAAGGAGAAAAGGAACTACTCACTTGAAATGGATGATAACGAAAAAAATATGAATGAGATGCAGGATTTGAATTATAAAAATATGAATGAGGTATAGGACTTGAACTATGAAAATATGAATGAAGTACAGGATTCGAATTATAAAAATCATCAATCTATTACATTGAAAAATAAGGAAACTGGTAAAGTACTGTCGTGATTGCTTCAAGTAGAGAATATTTTATTGTATGATGTGAATTTTATTAAGCATGTTATTAAGCATGTATATATGTGTATATTTATGTATTGTTATATATTAATATATACATTAAATATATACAGCTTATATTAAATATATACAGCTGCGGTCTGATCGAACCACGCTACATTGGCGTTGCTAGCGTTGTATGAAGCTAACATGTATATGCTAGATCATCCTAAAAAAAAACAAAAATATGGCTAGCTATCGCAGATGAGATTTCTAAGAGATTTCAACATTGAGATAAGACTATAAATTTTATTACAATTAAAGAGTTACTTTAGAGGGTTATAGAAATATTAAAATAGACAGCAAAAGATGTACGTACGTGCGTGTAAAAACAAAACCAATATATTTTCTAATATGTAATATAAATGATACATATCAAAAATTTTAATGTAAATGTATTACACAATTATTATACATATTATAGATTTAGAAAATGTTTTACCCATTGTAAATAATGGATATCTTTATTAGTAAATTTTACTTTCTTTCTTACCTACTATATTACTCTATCATATTACTTTCATGTAGTTCATTTTTACTATAAATAGAGATCGTGGATAGGTATATCGCTGTGAAATTATTTATTAAAATGTCCCGCATATGTAATTTAGAATAATTGTTTTTGAAAGTCCATTTTCGAAATGTATACATCAGTTAATTTTAATAACTTATAATTTATTATTACTTCGTGTTACAGATGTCATCACAGCAAGTAAGATGGAAAATGAATGCCTTAACAAAACGGTACAAAGAATGTATCGACAGCAATAATAAAACTGGAAGAGGTGCTGTTGAATTTCAATGGTTCGATCAACTCGATGAAATTTTCGGGAAAAACAATGTTAAATCGGCTTATCTGTTTCAACGAAGTTGTCTTTCTTTTTTGCGACGACATCTAAGAATAAAGAATATAACGCAACAGTCACTAACGAACAGAGTGAAAATAAAGGAAAGAAAAAAAAGGAGTTGCATGAATCTCATTTTGAAGTGAAAAATACAAAGCGTACGGTCCTTGAAGAGATCTGCCCATCATCAAATATAGCTGCAAATAAGCAAGTTATTGAAGATGTAACAGCAACGATGCAGCCCGAGACGTTAAAAAAGTTATGCCCAGCACACGGAACTGCTTCAAACATCGCAAAAAGTAAAATTGAACTCGAAAAGCAGTGGCATCAATATCTGTGGCAAGATAAAACTAAAAGAGAGATTAAGCTAAAGAGAAACGGTACAACGACATAATGAAAAAAAAGAAAGAATTACTAGAATTGAAAAAAAAACAAATTGAATTGAAAGAGAAAGAACTTCAACAGAAAAAGATTATTGCAAATAACAAAATGAACGATAAGCAAAAGAGGCACGTTAGTGTTGTTAGTGTGAAACGTAAGTATTGAAAAAGAAAAATGCAAACTTTTGCGTACCTATCTTAAAAAAGACATTAGTAATATGTCTCCAAAGTATCATTCTGATTTATCTGATTGATCGTTGATGGAGAAAAATTCGTACGTCAACAAACAATTAAAATTTAAAGTGTTCTCTGTAAAGTGCTTTTAACAATGTTGGAGGTACGAATTCTTTTCCATCAACGATCAATTAGATAAATCGGAGATCGGCTGAGGTGATATTTTTCGCGTATAATATATATTTCTGATGGAGGGGATAATAAAAAAGGGGATTTTAATCGATATCAATAATATTGATCATCATATTGATCAATAATATTGAATTATTACATAACCACTACATTGAAAGTCTGCTAAACCAAGGTGGCACGTGGTGGGTAATATAATTAATTGAATTTATTTCATATTAAAAAGACTTTAGCAACCAAGATCCTGCTTGCCGAGGAAATGCCATATTTCGCGTTGTAGTAAATTATATAAGTTTTTATGATAAATACATTTAGTTAGCTAAATTGTGTTGCTGTCTTAGTTGCATAACTGTAAAAGTATAAATTATACTGTAATTGATAATTAAGAATACTTCTTATTTATTTTTAATTCAATTTATTTCATAGTACATAAGTATCACTTTACAATTAACATTTTATTATTGGAAATCTTGAAAAAGTGCAATAAAGCAGTATTACAAATCGCTTTTAGAGTATTTCTTTATTTGCAAATCCATTTATTCGCTAGTATATAATTTTTTGTTCTAAACATTTCGTTATTAATTGGGAAATAACTCTCGAAAAAGTTACATTCTTCGATCTATTTGTTTTCCCCAATCAATATTTTCATTTTGTTCATTATTATTAAATTTACTGCATCATTGTAGTTCAGAAAATCATATGCATCATTCTCATTAATTATATAGGATATATGCATAACAACAACTGTATTTATGACAAAAGGCAATTCTCGATATTCATTGAAAAATTTTATTCGGCGAAACTTTTTAAATAACCAAATGCACATTCGACTACCATACGTGTGGAAGAAAGCAAGAAGTTAAATTCATTTTGCTGTGGTGTTAGGTGACCATTATCTCGAAACGGAGGAAACTAGCCACGATAATGAGCTATATGCTGAATTATAAATGTATTTCCTGGAAAAAGTATTTCTTTATTTTGCACTGCTGTTTGATATAAAGGCGATCTTCTTAAGATGCAGACATCATGCAGAAAACCAGGTTCGCTACAGTAAATATTAGTAAACCTCATTTTTGCATCAACAACTCCTTGCAAAGTAATAGAGAAATATTTTTTTCTGTTGAAATAATCATTTTCATTGATAAATGGTTTTTCTATTCTTATCGCTGTTCCATCAATTGCCAATTACATTGTTAATACCTCTTTTAGCTCGAAAAGGTTCACATACAGTAATATAATCTTCCTGTGGTCATCTAATTGTATTATCTAATTTTGTTAATAACTAATTTTCTACTCGACGTAAAATCCGAAATACAGAAGAAATAGACATACCGAATGTGTCAGACATTGTACGCAGAGGCTCAGTGTTTGATATGAGTTTGACATGAACCATAAAAAAAAGTAAGCTAATTTTTGCAGAAATTGGCTTCATTCCGAAAGCATGTTTTAGAAAATGTTCGGACTGTTCAAATTCATCTAAAACATATTGTTAATTGCAGTTAAATTACTGTTATATAGTTAATTAATATTGAAATAAATATTCACTATGTTAAAGTTAAACTGTCATTGAATATTTTTCTCTTATCATACATTTCTTATTAATTAAATGTAATGTTGAACGTCTTGATAACCGTAAATTCTCTTTAAATTCTTGTTCGGTCCACAAATCGACACTTTCGAGATAATCATTAATCCGATACCTTTTACTTCCACTTGTCAAATGTTCCATTAAAGGAAAATATAGCAAATCAACATTTTCATCACTACTAGAAGAGGAAATTGAAGTAGTATGTTCCGTACTGATACTCATGCTTGACTCTTCCGAACTATCGTTCGAAGAGCTGTTGTCACTTTCATTTGGTGTTTTAGATAAGATAAACAATATTTCTTTTCTAATCTGTAAAAATATTTAATGATTAATTTTATTTCATTATAGTATTATAAATTATATATAACTAAGAAATTTATCATAATTGAAAAATATATATATATATAAATATATATAAAAATATATGTAATAAAATACTTCCACGTTCGATACTGATATTCCTAGAAAATAGCCGTGGCTTCCAAACGTCGAATTTGCGTTCATGTTTATGCGTGATTGTCTTCTCCTACGTCACAATCTTTTACGCTCTCGTGAGCGTATTTAGAAACTTATGTGTTCTAATTAAACTCTATAACTGTGTCTTCTTACAGTGCCTCTCTGTGTTATACTGTGTAACACCAAACTCTCCTTGTTGGAAAGCACCCAGAGTTCATTTTATATCAATGTCGGTCCACAATAAGTATTTAAACTTTAAGCCGTAAGAAATTGACCAATCATAATCAATTATTCTTTTCATATTCGATTATAATTGGTCAATTTCTTACGTCTTAAAGCTTAAATCACCTATTGTGGACCGATACTCATGCGTCCTGCGAACGTTTAAAGGCCTCTTCACTGACGAGATACTATTAAACCGACAACCGTGAGTAAATTTTCGTCACCACTAAAGGAGTCCCGGGGATAATTGAAAAACGTTGATATTACCGACGGTTTTGACTGTTCCGTAGATAAATTAATGAAGATATAATTATGATAAAATGGATATGAAAGATAAAACAGGAATTATCATATAAATTAAATTAGAAAATATTTTACCTATAAGAAAATATTTTATAATTTCTTTAATATTTAAATTTGTTTATTTAATTAACAATTATATTATAAAAATGTATACATTATATATAAACAATATATAATATATATATATATCAATATATATATATATATATATATATCAATATACTATTGTATAATTGAAACAAAGATCTTGATTATTAAAACAAAAGCATAACATAGTTGTTGATTTTTTTAGGATACTGTTGAATCATTGATTTAATTAACACCTCGTTAATGTGGCAAAATATTTCTGAAATCGATAATTTTGTAATTTTATAACACAAAAAATGTATTAAAATAAAAAGTTAAAGAATTAATAATTAAGTTCCTAAAGAATGTATTAATATTTAATGAAAATATATCCAAAGTCTATTTTTTATCTATTAATAAATTATATAATATCTTATATGTTAAATAAAAATTTTTTAACTAATTTTTCTTCGTATTATTTCTTCTTAATAGTGTTATTATATCTTTAACAGCTTGAAGCGATAACTAATCAGCTTACGGTTGTCCGTAAGAGCGTAAAACTGCCACAATGCTTTTCGCTGCTAATGACATCAATCATTATCGATAATTACGTACGGAATATGACCTGAGAAATTAAATGAGACAATTTGTTACAAAACAGATGTTCTAAAACATATAAATTCTAAACATTCAATTCTTTTTCAAAAATTCTTCTTTTCTTCTTTTCTTCCTTTCTCCTTTTTCTTATTGTTTTCTCTTAAGTAATTGAGCGTAAATTAATTGAGAAAATTTAACGAAGATTTAATAATATATATTTACAGTATGGAAATTTAAGGACTATTTTTATTTACAATGAAAAAATTATGAGATTATCCTAGATCGCATTTAAAAATAATACAAAAAGTTTTGCGGTTTAGAAACGAATTTAAAATTACTTAAATATAAAATAAAAATGTGTTTCAATCAAAATGTAATTAAGAAATAATTATAAAAATTACGACTTTTTTTATATAAGTACTTTAAGTACTTTAAGAATTCAAAAGATTTATGTACTTTCATTGTGATGCGAAAATTAGTTATTCTGCTAACTTAAATTTTTATTAATCTGAGAATAGTCACCTGGGATATTTTCTACATCTCATTGTCAAAAATATGAAATCACATCACAGTTATTTAATGTCCTTTTTCCGTTTGTTTATTATCTTGGTTTTTCCTTACTTTTTTCAAAAAATGTTGATTAAACTTATATCCATAATATCCTTAGATATTAATAAGTTATAGAACAATCAATAATTATAATAGGTAATGAATAACAATGACTTTTAATTGGGATGTAAAAAATACCCCAGGTGACCGTTTACGCAAAAAAAAATGAGGTGATTATTCTCGGGTTGAGAGTACAAACAAAAGAGTGATGGTACAAATTAAATAAAGTTTTTCTCTACAGAACAACTAATTTCTGCATAAAAGTTTACATAAAAAATCTTGAATAGTTATATAAAAAGAATTAAGATTTTCGATATTATTTCTTAATTATTTACATTTCGATTAGAGCACGCTTCTACTTATCTATTTAGATAATTTTTGATTCATGTTGTAAACCTTGCTAAATTTCTTTGAAATGCGTATTATTTTGAACTGCGATTAGATAAATCTATAAGTTTTTCATAATATTTATATTGTAAATGTAAGAAAGATAGATAAGAAAAATAAATGTAATACATCCTTAACGAAATCAATGTACCAGATTTAAGTTTTTATATATTTTTAAATAAAAATCCTGCTATTTTTTCCTTAGGATAGTTTAATTTTTGTAAAATAATGATAATTTCTAACAATTTAAGAGCTTCTCATTCAAGTATTCAAAGTCCAATGTATATTTTCGCTTATACTAAATAAAAAAAACGTAATACATCAAATTGATTATTTTATATGTTGTGCAACAATCTCGTCGACATTGTAATTATTATTAACTTAAAACATAGTAAATTTTTAATTTATTAATTTATATTAATTTTTAATTTATTTCGAATTTTTAAGAAAATAACGAAATATATATTATGCAATTGTATTAAGAAAATAATTTTATATGTATTCTTATTTATTATATTGCTTATAATTTTTATACATAAAGTTATATACCACCTTATTGTAATAAATATTATATGTAAAATATAATAATCATATATAAGGATTTTCGTAATATCAATTTCGTATTATCAATTCTGCAATTCATTCAGATTATTAATATTGTTTATTTTTTTTCAATGGATACGCTATATGTCAACAATAGCGAGCAGTAACCAGCAGACAACGTAGGAGACGCCGAACAACATACAGCGCAGCGAGAGAGTACGATAGTATCTCTATCCTCTTCTCGCAGCATGTCAAGCGCGAGAGAGTACGATAGTATCTTTATTCTCCTCGCACAGCGCTTCGAGTGTGAGAGAATAGAATAGTAGTCCTATTCTTTTCTATCGTCCGAGAGTAGTCGAAACTGACACTATGCAACGTACACGGATGTAGGCTTACGGTTCAGTGTATGCTGACACATTGAAGTATGGCCCATGTTCGTGTACTCTGCACGGCGTAACGCTGCGTAAACATGATGGCCCGCCAGGTTAGCCGAATCAGGCATTAGCTTCGAGTGGTAGAAAAGGATATACGATCTGTTCTGTTTTCTCTCTCGAGCTTATAGCAAAATTAGTAATATGATGTTGGACCTTAAGTTGCCGAATTGATAACGTGCGATATTATTATCAATCTATTTTCAAAACTTTTACATATTTCTGTAAAATTATTATAATATATATTTTGTACAAATATGTAAATATAAAAATCCGCTGAATGTTTATTTTTAATTAATTATTTAATTTAAAGTAATTACCCAAGTAGCAAGATGACGCCATTATGATGATGATTTAAGGTCATTTTTCGTCATTCTACGTCAGTATACGTTAGTATAAATAATGATGTAAAATAAACATAACATTTGTTACGAAATATTATCATCATAAATATATCTTCATTATTTTTAAGTCATTTTTAATGAATAAATGAATTAATATTATTATTTACTATCTTTCTTAATTAATTATAATATATAAATAAGAAAAATATTTCCCATATTTAACATACAATTATTAACAAATTCATAAACAAATAAATAAAATATATACAACAATTTATAAACAATTTTTATAAAAACAATGATTCTTATTAAAAATAATATAAATTCACGGCTCTATATATGTAATTAAATTATCTACAAAAATTACATATGCAATCGAGATTTTAAAATTGAGATTATTTATACAACATAGTAACATTCACCAGTATCAGTAAGATTCACCAGATTAACCAGATCATCATATTTTATGTCAAGATCTCATATTCACTTATATCATCATTTCAGTAGCAGGTTTCATCCCATATGCAAGTTAAGCAGCAGGGTCCCAAGTAAGGATAGGTAGGCCGTTTTAGAAACATGCGGCGATAGAAGATAAAAGATGTTTTTAGCACTTTCACTTTTTTCATTTTTTCATTTTTTTTACTTATTTTTCGTAAAAGGTGTTACGTATATTATAGATTTTTAGTACTAGCAATCAATATCGTAATTCTTATTTTGTCGTCATAAGTATCACATCATCGGTCTGTATAGATGTCATTATGTGTTCCTTTTTGACATCTTTTATGTCGTGATATTACGTGAATTTGATATTAACTTAAAATAGACATTATATTGACATCTTGCTACCTGGATATTTAGTTAATTTTAATTTTACTTTATTATTTAGTTTATTTAATTATTATAATTATTACTATTATTTAATTAATATTATTTAATTAATTATTTAGTTAATTTAAAAGATGTCCCTTATATTAAAACAAATTATTTCTAGTATTTTTAATAATATTTAGATATTAACTAAAATTATAGTTTTTAATATAGTTTTTTATTTTTCTTTTTAGAACTAAATATCAACAAATACTTTTTCAAACAATAGTTTTAACAAATAACTTAATTATATTTTAATAATTAAGTGATTCAGAGTTAATATACAATACTATAGTAAATATTTTAGTTTTACCGAGAATAAAAAAAGTGTGTGTAAAATTGGCATCTCATTTTGCGGAAAAAAATCATACAAATTATTGAGAGTTTTGGCTTCCTTTTTAATAGTTTCTGATAGGTTAAACAAATAGTTTTTGCATTAAAGAAAAAATCGGTTTGGACAAAGTGGACGCCAGATTCACGCTACGACTCATTTTGTCCTAAATGAGTTCCGATGCTTGCAAACGTAAGATTTTGAAAAATTTATAGTCTATAAGAGTTCTATAAAGAGTTCTCTCATATAAAAACAAAAAAATTTTAAATAAGTTGAAGTTAATTATCAGTGCAATAAACAAATTGAGCTGAAACGCAGGCCAATAACTCAGGGTTTTGATTTATCAAATACTTTTCGTATAGTTCTGAACATATTAAAGGATTTTCTAAAGAGTTCTAGGCATTGGCGGTGATGTACGATTTTTAAATAAAGAAAAATTGGCCGAGCGTCACATTCTTAGATGGAAAAATATGAAACGATTGAAATCTCGAAGTTCTGATTTAACAAATATACTTTTCGTATAGTCCTGAACATGTCAAAACTTTTTCTAAAGAGTTCTAGACATTGGCGATAATGTAAAAAAATATACGATTTTTAAATAAATAGATACAGCCCAAATGAGTATTAATATGTGACGCTGTTTAAATATCGCTGGTTAAATGCACATCTAATAGTCCAATATACTTTTCGTATACTTCTGAATGTATTCTAATGCTTTGATAAGAATTCTAATCACAAAAAATATTTCGACCAGCGTCTTATACTTTTCCGTTTGTCTCTTTGTTAATTTTATTTTAATTTATTAATTATACGAAGTTCTTAAATTGTATTGTTTT